TTCCCACTTCGCTGCACCCCCCCTGGCTATGCCCATCCCTGGCCGGGCTCCTCACTGCTGTCCCTCACTGTCCCCAGTGCTCACCACCATTGACTGGCAGGATTTGGCAGCCTGTGCCCCCAACCTCCCCACCGCCCCGGCTGGCCCTGTGACCCTGCAGCAGGTAACCCCCCTGGCTGGGGCAGGCTTGGCCGGCCCTGGCATGGGGCACCTACCACGGGGTGGGCCTCTCAAGCCCATGGGTGCTGGCAGCAGCCCCCTCCCCCAGCCTCAGGCTTCTCACCTGTGAAATAGGCACAGTGGAGGACAGCGTCTTGTGCCACGCGTTAAGATGGGTTAGTGGCAAAGGCAGGGCAGGGGGCAGGTGCCCAGGGGTGCCGGGGCTGTGGGAAGGTGCTGAGCGCAGACAGCAGCCAACATCAGAGCAGTATGGGCAGCAGTGGGCAGCATGGTCAGATCTGAGCCCTGGGACCCTGCTCACTTGCACATTTCCTTCACCCCTTCCAGGGTCCCTGCTTCCAGGATGAACCAGAGTTTGATTTCCAGGAGTTCAGAGAAGCTGTCGATGATTTTATATCTGGCAAGTAGATATTTTTCCTTACCTGAGCCAAACATGCCTGCGTATGCATGTTAGCAGTCACGCCGCATTCGGTCTCCTCTTTTTTTGCTTTGTTTTTGGTTTTTCAGATGCCCACTCACTGCTTGCTCGTCCCACCCTGGGACAGCGCGTAAGGCAGCGCTCCTCTGCGCACCCCCTTAGTGGGACTGGGCTGGCACTGAGCTTTCCCCCATGGGAGACAGAAATTAAATGCAAACAGATTTAGGGTGCACAGCTGATGCAGTGGAGTAAAAGCATGTGGGGACATACCGGAGGGATGCTGAGAACCGGGATGGTATGCTGGGGTTGGGGGGGAAGAGAGGACGTGAAAATCTGCTGTCTTAGTGCCTGTGGCTGTTGCTCCAGATGCATCCACCTTAATGCCACCGCCACTGGACTGCACCGACTTCGATTTCTCACTTGGCGAGGAGGTGGCCTTTGGGCCCTGTACGCCACAGCTGGAGACCAGCGCGCTGGCTCAGATGTCCCCGCAGCGCCTGCCTTCCCCCGAGCCGTGCTGGAAGGACCTGGCCGACAGGCACCAGAAAGGACTGGGAGGTGCCCTGGAGGCAAACAGCCAGGTAGGGACCCCCAAGCCCTCCCCAGGGGCCTGCGCTAGGTTTCTCTCCCTCGCATCCTGCTGAGGTGGCTGGGTGGCCCCGGTGTGCAGCATCCCCTGGCCCCTGGGTGGTGGGGCTGTCCCACCCACCCTGTCCCCCCTTGTCCTTCGCAGCTGCAGGAGACCCTCATGCAGAGGCAGGAAGAGCTGTCGACGCTGCGGGAGAGCAACGTGCAGCTGAAGGAGCTGGCGAGCCAGGCCAGGCAGCTGGCTGCCGTTCTGGACGTGAGTGCTGCCCACCCCCCTCCCCCCCGTCTGGCCTGGCTGCCCCACGGCCCAGCTGGTCCCTGGGGGACAACGCGGTGTGGGACAGGGTGCGGGGTAGGACAGGGCCACGCGACGTGGGGGGGAAGAGGTGCGGGCCGGGCCGGTGCGGCGCAGCGTGGGTCCGTGCGGTGCAGGACGGGGGGG